GCTGACTCCCAGGAGTGAACTGGTGAACCCCCGCATCCTGTAGGTCAGCACCACTCACCAAGTTCGTAGAGAACGAGGGGAGGTAAAGACCAGACAGGGTGCCAGAGGGGGCCGCCGGACACGGGAGGACAGTGGAGAAGTGAGCAAGGACAGGACCCCCAGAGGGGTCTGCCAGAGAGACCGCAACTGGTCGGCCAAGCGGCGTGAGTGTGGTGCGGTCTCGAAAGAAGGAGCGAGAAGCCCCCGAGTCAAGGGTGAAGGTGTGGGAGGCCGAGGCCGACGCAGAACCTGAGAGAGCAGACTCACCAGCACCTGAGGGAGCAGACGCACCTAGAGCAGCAGCCTCGCTAGCACCTAGAGCAGCAGCCTCACCAGTACCTAGAGCAGCAGTCTCAATGCCCGGGTCGGGCGGAAAACACCGGTAACAGTCACCCTCATCACTAATAGTCACAGTATACATGGCAGCAAGAATAGCATCAAAGTCAAGGTCAAAGACAGCCACACCCGCCCTAGACAGCTCACCCCAGCGGGGGATCTCAGTGGCCTCAGGGAACTGGTGACGCCAAGCGTCCGTCAGGCGGCCAAAGCAGCGCTGGGTGGAGTGCGCACCCCCGCACTGCTCACCCGCGCGGTCGCCGGTGCGGAGGACGTAGGTGCACGGACCAGTACCCCCACCCCTCTGGCGTGCAGCGTACCACTCACGGAGCTGCTGAGGGGAGGGGATGTCACGAGTGCGCTGCTGCTGCTGCTGCTGCTGCTGCTGCTGCTGGCGCTGACCACCACCGGAGCTGACTCTCTGCGCAGCGCCACCCCGACCAGCTCCACCTCCTCCGCTGCCTCCTCCTCCACCGCCGCCACCTCCGCTCCCACCGCCACCGCCGCCGCCGCCTCCGCCTCCACTGCCACCACCGACACCTCCACCCCCGCCACCACCCCCACCGCCACCCCCACCCCCTCCACCGCCTCCAGCTTCGCCTCCACCGCCCCCGCTAGCTCCTCCAGTGCCCCTGCCCCCCTTGCCCTTGCCAGGGCGGCGTCTCCCGCTAGGGGTAGACGCCGCACCGACCGACTCAAGCCCAACGAGGTCGGCCGCAGCAGCAGAGGCAACAGAGGGCAAAAGGGGGGAGGGGGAACACCCCTCAAAGATGGGGGTGCGAGGGTCACCACGAGAGGCTCCTACAGCTACTATGCTCTTCTCTGCTGCTAGGAGGGACTTCTCGAGGAGGTCAACGGTGAGAGTGGTGGGGCAAACAGAGAGGAAGTGGTCCCTGACTACGCGAAGGGAGTCAGGGAGCCGGGTGACTATGTAGTAGAGGGTGATGTACATGGGGGGGGGGTTCTTAGCGCAGAACTCTGCAGGAAGCGCAGCGCGGTAGCGAGTGTCACTAGTGCGGAGGTGCGTAATGAGGTCAGCGACTGTGGGAAAGGCAGCAAGGTCAGGGAAGAGGTACGGTAGCATGAGGCGGCTAAGTGCAGCAGTGGCAGGGGAGGAGTAGCGCGCAACTACAGCGTCGTACAAGGTCTGAGCACTCTTGTACTGGCTAAAGTGCGCACGCTCAGAGGTAGGTAGGTGGCGACGCACAGCAAGACGTGCAGCAGCATCGCGCGTGGCCCACTGGGAGCGAACAGTGGCGTCAGCAGCAGCAGCAGCGGGGGCAGGAGAGGCACCAGAAGTGAGGTCAAAGAGGGAGAGGCCGTCTGCCCTGTCGCACTGTAAGAAAAGCTGCAGGTCATCTATCCAGACGTCAAAGTCAATGGCCCGACCCTCAGCGTCAAAAGCGAGGACACTAGGGGTAGCCATGACAGCAGTAGACTAGCAGCGCAAACAGTAGGGTGAGGGCAGTGCTGTGAAAGGGGCGCTGCTCTTACCGGACAGGGCGGCTCGGGTGGCTCGGCTGTAGGGCGGCTCGGCGGCTCGGTTGCTGGGCGGCTCGGCGGCTCGGCTGCTGGGCGGCTCGGCGGCTCGGCTGCTGGGCGGCTCGGCGGCTCGGCGGCTCGGCTGCTGGGCGGCTCGGCTGCTGGGCGGCTCGGCTGCTGGGCGGCTCGGCTGCTGGGCGGCTCGGCTGCTGGGCGGCTCGGCGGCTGGGCGGCTTGGCTGCTGGGCGGCTCGGCGGGGCCGCTGAGAGGGCGGCGTCCGGGGCCGCTGGGAGGAGGCGGCGGGGCCGCTGAGAGGAGGCGGCGGGGCCGCAAAGGTAGGTGGCGGGGCCGCAGGTAGGTGGCGGGGCCGCTAGTAGGTGGCGGGGCCGCATGTAGGTGGCGGGGCCGCTGGTAGATGGCGGGGCCGCACAGGCAAGTGGCGGGGCCGCGGAGGTAGGTGGCGGGGCCACACAGGTAGGTGGCGGGGCCGCGGAGGTAGGTGGCGGGGCCGCACAGTGAGGTGGCGGGGCCGCGAAGGTAGGTGGCGGGGCCACACAGGTAGGTGGCGGGGCCGCGGAGGTAGGTGGCGGGGCCGCACAGGTAGGTGGCGGGGCCGCGAAGGTAGGTGGCGGGGCCGCACAGGTAGGTGGCGGGGCCGCGGAGGTAGGTGGCGGGGCCGCACAGTTAGGTGGCGGGGCCGCGAAGGTAGGTGGCGGGGCCGCACAGGTAGGTGGCGGGGCCGCGGAGGTAGGTGGCGGGCGCGACGGGCGCGACGGGCGCGACAGGCGCGACGGGCGCGACGGGCCTAAAGGGCGGCGCGAAGGGCCGTAGGGGCGGCGCGACTCGGGCCGGAGCAAAACGCGCTCCGGGCAGGAAAGAAAAAAAAAAATGATTTCGTGGTGGTGGGCCCTAGGAATCGTTCCCACTAGGGAACCTGCTCGATACCATGAGAAGAAACGAGGAATGAAATGACTAAGTGAAAGTTGGGTACAAAAAGCAAACCCTAGAAAACTGTACCCCATATGTGCCACCCCACTATAGCCTACAGTAGCTATGTCATATGAATCTGACAGGGTTGCCCCACACTTCCGTGCTGCGATGCCTGTGCTGCAGGTTGTCCCGGAGTGCCATGTGCTTGTGATTGTGCTTGCTGTGCTCGTGCGACATCATTTTGCAGGGACGTGCGTTCGGCCGTCAGTGCCGCGATTTCTTCAAAGCTTTCGTGGAGTTGTCGCAGCAGCTCGTTCAAACGGTCCTGCGTGAGTGTCGTGTCGTTGATATGTTCAGCCATAACGAAGTGCGTCAGCTCAGCTTAGTCTAGGCGCATTCGTGGCTGCACGCGTTTACGAGAGAACGCGAGGACAGCGGCTCCTAGGTGCTAAGGGGCGTGACTCCCTTCGAGTGAAAAATCAAAAGTTGATTTCCTGGGGTGCGGAGAGATGCGCGGTCCGAAAGAAAGTGGCTCTGATACCAAGTGTTACGGGTGCAATGAATCGAGGTAGCGAGGATTGCACTAAAGTGTTCAATGAGTACCAAATATGAGTGAAGGCATGAGCGAATTCTTATACGCGAAAATGTGCAAACGGTAACGCGGTGCATGCGAGCTAGCAAGTGCTACGCTGGCGCGAGGTTCGGGCTAGTCCCGAAGCGTAGGCCGACTCGGCTGCTCCAGCAGTGCGAGGTTTGGTGAAACAGTGCGCGCGAAGTTGGCGAAGCCCCGTTAGCGGTAACGGGCGAACAACGGCTGCTACTGTACGCGATGTGGATGGTCGCGGTAAGGAATAGCAAGAAAATTCCTTACACTACCCCCAAAATGCGCCCTAATGAAAGTGCTCCTCCCATAGAGCAGGCAGAGGGAAGGAGCACTAGCATTATAGAGCATTAGCAGTATTGGTTATAGAAGCAGCAATGCATTCTCAGGCTCGCCCGGCCCGGACCATGTCAGACCAACATACCGTATTACCCCGGATATAAGCGCACCTGCGCTTATAATAAAACAGTGTTTTTTTGGGGGGTGCGCTTATAATTGAGTAAAAAATATAAGCGCATGCGCTTATAATATAACAAATACAAATATATATTTCAATGCACCAAATTGTACATCTCATCCTTCAGATTTCAATCGAATCGAAATTGTAGAAAGTCACATGTCAAAATCGCGCGCGGGCGATTCTTCGCGAGCGCCCAGAGGCAAAATACAGTGTAACACCTCACTTTGAGGGCGTGCCAGCTCGTGCTGACTGGACGCGCAGGATGTGAGAGGTCTTCGAAAGTCAATGTAAGCGAAAATGGGTTGTGGCCTCGCTGCAAAACTGAGATTCGTTACCGTTTTAATGAAGAATTATAAATAAAATTACACATGCGCTTATAATATATCAGGGTTTTATAAGGGGTGCGCTTATAATTGAGGATCGGCCATAAGCGCATTGCTCCAGATACAAGCGCATGCTCTTTTAATAGGCCTGCGCTTATATCCGGGGCCATACGGTACCCATTATTGCCAGTCCACGGATCTGCCTCCCTTTTCGAGCGGAGTGGAGATGATTGTGGGAGCCTCGTTTGCAGTTTTGGTCTCGTTGTGTCACCAAAATTATGATAGGGTGAATTGATTTCAAGATTCCGTGAATTATTGCCGCGCCGCTGGCGTTCGGCCTTTCGAGTCGCGAGCTACGCTGCCATCGCAGCCCAGAGTATCGAATACGGACCGTGTCGAATACGGGCGCTCTAAAGCATATATACCTAGTAGTGTCCCTCGCCGGGAAAACGCACTCACCTCATCGAATATCACTCAGTGATCGAACTTGTGAGGCTACGACGTGCACTAGCTAGCCATTACCCCTGCAACCCTGCCTTTGCGTGCCGAAGGACACAGCATCGCCGTCGTCGAGTGAAGGAATAACCGCAGTAGCATTAGCCGCCACACTGCCTGCATTACCCCCGTCCCTACTGACGCTGCTCTATTGACATTTGAGTTCACCTCTCTCGGCGCCTTTGAGTGGCATCAGTCCGTCACGGTCTCTTCTGACTCGCCCGACCGTACCTTGCTCAAAAAGGCCACAACGACTACCAAAAAAGGTCTCGCCCTCGCCGCTGCTTGCCAAACCTCTTTCGACACCATCGCGCGCACCACCGCGGGCACCAGCATGGGAGATTCGAAGCTCGCTGCCGCGGCTCTGCTCGTCGTCGCCATCCTCATTGGTATGCGCCTCTTCTCTCTCGCATCGCCCCCTCTCCCTCCCCCACGATGCTCTTTCGTCACCACTGCGAGCACCACCGTGAGCACCACCGCGAGCACCAGCATGGGAGATTCCAAGCCCGCTACCGCGCTCCCTTACTTGCATGCCCCAATTTCCTACGTGCGGCGACGCGACACCCCTCATGCATCAACTCCCCTCATTGCCCCCACGGGCCCCTCCCCACACCCAGCGATCCTCCCATGTGCCCTCCCCACGCCCCAACAACCCCGCGCCCCGTGGGCCCTCCCCACACCCCAACAACCCCGCACCCCGTGTGCCCTCCCCATGCCCCAACAACACCGCGCCCCGTGTGCCCTCCCCACCCCTCTTCCCATGTGACGCCCCCCCTGTGTGTGTGAGTAGTGTCTCTGAAATCAACGCATCAGTGAAGTCCATCGGAGATGACTTACGAGTTCACTCTAGACTCCCTCCCATGCGCCCCTCCCATGCGCCCCTCATCCCCTTCCCCCTGCATGCATGTGTGAGCAGTACCACCAAGATGGGCGCATCAGTGAAGTCCATCCGCATTGAATTTCTAATTTACTTTAAAAGCCCCTCCCCTCCCCCTGTGCGTGTGTGCTCGCCATCAGTGAAGTCCGTCTGAGTTGAATTTTGAGTTAGCTCTGAAGTCCCTCCCTCCCATGCACTCCTCCCATTCCCTCCCCCCCCCCCCTCCCCTTCCCTCCCCTTGCGCGCATGTGTGAGCAGGCAGTACCACCAAGATAAGTCCATCAGTGAAGTCCATAAGTGAAGTCCATCAGTGAAGTCCATAAGTGAAGTCCATCAGTGAAGTCCATTCGCTGCGTGCTTGGTGAGTGCCCTGCGGCTATGTCAACTGTCTCCCTTTCTGATGTTGCCACGCATTCGCCTTGCTTCTACTGCCAAACATGCTTCTGCAGACAAAATGAACGATCGGCATGCATGGGCTGCTGCTGCCATGCACGGGCTGCTGCTGCTGCCATGCGTGCACTTTCAGTTTCATTTTATGTCTCTTTTCCCTATGCTTCTCACCCCATGCCTCTCACCCCATGACTCTCACCCCATCCCTCTCACCCCATGCCTCTCACCCCATGCCTCTCACCCCATGCCTCTCACCCCATGCCTCTCACCCCATCCCTCTCACCCCATGCCTCTCACCCCATCCCTCTCACCCCATGCCTCTCACCCCATCCCTCTCACCCCATCCGCCCATGTGATCCAGACAACATCTGCAGCCGTGCCCAGTGCCCAAAACACTCCACGTGCATCAAGACAAAGGACGACCAGGAGGTAGGGTGCCTGTGCGCCCAGGGCTACCAAAACGTTTACGGCCAGTGCCAGCCCAATTAGCTTCCTCTTTCCACCCCATCTGTAAGTCAATATTGCTGGGTCGTCTCAAAGAACGACAGGCAGGAGGTGGGGTGTGGCATACATGCCAGTGCGCCCAGGGCTACCATAACGTCTACGGTCAATGCCAGCCCCAGTAGCCTCCCCTCTCACCTGTATGGTAAGCCTCCCCAATAGCCCTCCCTTAGGGAGGTGGGGTGCCAGTGCGCCAAGGGCTACCAAAACGTCTACGGTCAGTGCCAGCCGCAGTAGCCTACCTTCCCACCTGTAAGCCTCCCCAATAGCCTTCCCTCTCGCCTTTATGGGGTTGGCATGCCAGTGCGCCCAGGGTTACCATAACGTCTACGGCCAATGCAAGACCTAATAACTTCCCCTCCCCTTTGTAAGCCCTCGCTTCCACCCTGAATCTTCCGCACCCCTCTATCCTCCTCCCCCTCCCTCTCTCTCTTCCTGTCCCGACCTACATCCCTTCCTCCTCCATCTGCCCCTCTGCCTCTCCCTCCCAACCTGTCCTCTCTCCGTCTCTCCCACTCCGTTCTGCCTTCTTCCTCTTCCACCCCTTCTCTTTCTCTCCTCTCTCCTCTCTCCTTCTCCCTCCCCATTTTCTTCCACCATGCGTCTGTGTGCTAATCGTTCGTTCTCGTCTTGTCTGTTGCACAGCCCCTCTCCCGACTCTTCTTCCTTCTCTCCCATTCCCCGTCCCTCTCTCCTCTCTTCCCTTCCCCTGTTTTCATCTTCTGCCGCGATGCACCTGTGTGCTAATCATTCATTCTCGCCTTGTCTGTTGCCTGCAGAGCCCTCCAACGCCACTGCCCTGCTGAGAGCCACAGCACAACCCCTCGATAAATAAAAGGAGAGCCCCTGAATAGCAGCAGAGCGTCTGGATAGCAGAGCCTCTAGAGGGCGCCTGGTGTGGCAGTGTTGCTACAGGTGTCCGGTGGTGCAGCTTGGGGACACTGGAGGAGACGGGTTGATAATTCCTTGGGTGGCCATCAAAATACGATAACTCAGGACAGGACTGCCAACTTACTCTGATTAGAGTGCCCGTTCGTTGTGACCGATTGAGTTGTTTGATTGTGTGTATTATTAGAAGAGGGCGTTGATAAGGATGCTTCTTGCAACAATTTTACGGTTTCCAAAGGCCTCCTGAAATCTGAAGCGCCTCCATATTTATAAACAACTCCATATTTGTAGAAAATTTGAGCCCACATTGCACAAAATTAGGGCGTGCTGGATCAAGATGAAACTTCAACAATAGAGAGGAAGTTAATGGTTAAAAAAAATAACTGGACCATTAGAGTGACCCCCAAAACTCACTTTGATTTTTCGAGAGTAAGATTCATTCAGTCCGATAAACCTGGCTTAGGACCTTCTTACTTTCATGATACATTCTGCCATTCTTGTCCGCTTCGTGAGTTCCCCTAAAACTAGCAAGAAATGTTCGAGGATGAAAGAAACAAGCAGACGGGGAAGCACCAGCATATCGACTGCCCCACCCCACACGGCACGGCACGGCGCCTCCGGGCACAGCACGGCACCTCAGGGCAAGCACAATGTCGGACCAACTTACCGTTGCTGCTGGTCCACAGGTTTCCCGCAATGCAGGCAGCCAATCGGAACGCGATTGCGTAGAGATTATGGGAGTCGCGTTCGTAGGTTTCATTGCGTCGCAGAGATTATGCGCGTGCGGATAGCCGGAAACAGCTCTTGCCGCGCCGTTGGCGGGCGAGAGTTGAGTCGCGAGCTGCACTGCCATCGCAGCCACTAGTCACATGTGGAGTTGTGAAAACGTGCCGTACAGAATACGCGCCGTAGTTCTGATAGTCGCTGCAGTATTGCTGATAGCACTGTTTAAGCTATCGCTCAAAGCTCAAAACTCACCGCCATCGCTGCCATAAGGTCGCGTCAGCCTGTCGCTTCCGACTCGACTCAAAACACGACACGCACTAGCCACCCTGCCTTGGTCGCTGCAGTATTGCTGATACCACTGTTTTGGCCGACTCAAACTCACCGCCATCGCTGCCTTAGGGTCCGCGTCAGTCCGTCGCTTCCGAGTCGACGGATTCTCGTCCCACTCCAGTTCGCCCCAGGCTACTGCCACCCCTCGCCACTGCCACTGCCACCCCTTGTAGCGAGGTGACTTTAGAGTCCACTCAAAAGTCTCGACGGATTCTCGTCCACTCCAGTTCGCCCAAGCCTACTACCACCCCTCGCCGCTACTTGCCGAGCATCTTTCGTCACCACCACGAGCACCAGCATGGGAGGTTTCAAGGCCGCAGCCGCACTGCTCGTACTCATCCTCGTTGGTACGCTTCCCTCCCGAAGACCCAACCTCAATGCATTTTGCGCAACGCTCGTTAGAAGCTTACAAGCTGCTCGATTAAATCCCAATTCCGTACACATTCGAATTTTGAGTCGACTTAAAAAACGTCACATTTGCGAGTCGCTCGTTACTTAATCGGGGTTTCCCCCTTCCCCATGTAACGTCCTCGCAGCGAGTGAGGTCGAAAGGTCGTTGTCGCTGACTGTCGCCCTTCCCCGTGTCACTTCCTGCTCTCCCTTCCCCTCCATGTGACGTCTTCGCAGCGAATGAGGTGGGAGTGTCGCTGGCGCTGGGAGAATCTGCCATCAAAGGGACGACTGCTGGCGGCGGCGGTACCGACCCGACTGGTACTACGAGCGTGACTTTTGCCCTTCCCTGTGTGACGTGTCTTGCCATTCTCCCTTTCCCTTTGTGTGATGTCTTTGCAACGAGTGAGGTGGGAGTGTCGCTGGGAGCACCGGCCGCCAAAGGCACGACTGCTGCCGGTTTATGTGCGCGTGGGCTCTTTTTGAGACGTATCAAAAACACCCTTTTTTCGCGACGGTGATGCGGGTTTATGTGCACATGGGCTCGGTGATGCTCCTCGGCTCGCTTGTTCTGAACCCTTATCGATGGCAGCAAATGCCGCTGCTGCCAGCGATGTGGTGCAGCTTTATGTGCGAGTGGGCTCGGTGATGCTCCTCGGCTTTTCGCTTCCCTTTCTGTCTTCGCCCTTCTCTGTTTGACATCCTCGCAGCTATGGCAGCAAATGCCGCTGCTGCCAGCGATGTGGTGCGGCTTTATGTGCGCATGGGCACGGTGATGCTTCTCCTCGGCTCGCTCGTTTTGACCGTTCCCCTTCCCTTTCTGCCTTCGCCCTTCTCCCCACAGCCATGGGAGAAAATGCCACTGCGGCCACCGACCTGGTGCGGCTTTATGTGCGAATGGGGACGGTGATGCTCCTCGGCTCGCTCGAACAGCCGCGCTCCGTCTGATTCGACTTTGAGCGCTGCGTATCCGTGCCCGAAGCCGCGTCTGCGAGCGGTGGCAGCGGCGCGGGCGGAGGCGGTGTGGGCGGCAGCAGCGGCGGCGCGAGCGGCGGCGGCGCGGTGGACGCGCTGGTGTGGTGGGACGTGTTTTTGGGTGACGTGTTTTTCGATCGCTCGGTGTGCGACGCGGTGCAGCTGTTCGCGTCGCCCGACTGCTCGGGTGCTGCGGCGGCGAAATACCAAAACACGGGGTACCAAAACACGGGGGAGATGAGGTGAGCGGTTAGTACCCATTTGTTACTTGCGAGCAGCGGCGCGGGAAATGTGCTGGTGTGGTGGGTCGTGTTTGTGTCGCCTGACTGCTCGGGTAATTCAACGGCGAAATGCACGGGGTACCAAAACACGGGGGACATGAGGTGAGTGCTCACCCGCTTGTTACTGGCGGCGCGGGATGTGCTATTGTGGTGGGACGTGTTTTCGGAGCGCACTATTTGCAACGCGCTGCAGCTGTTCGAGTTGCCCGACTTCTCTGGTACTGCAGCAACAAAGTACCAAAAGACGGTTTACCAAAACACGGAGGACATGAGGTGAGTGCTCACCCGCTTGTTACTGGCGGGGGGGGGGGGGGGGGGGGGGGTGGATGTGCTGGTGTGGTGTGGTGGGACTTTTTTTTGGATCGCACAGTGTGCGACGCGGTGCAGCTGTTCGCGTCGCCCGACTGCTTGGGTGCTGCGGCGGTGAAATACCCTTTCGCGGAGGATATGAGGTGAGAAGTAACAATTTTGCTGCGAAATGCCTATTTGCGGGGTACATGAGGTGATCATTGGTGGGGTAACCGAGGTGAAATATCCAGTTTCATTATTCACCCGTTTGTTTACTTTACTGGCACACAGTGAAGCTCACTCACTCCCTTGCTTGCATGTGTCCCAATCTCTCTGCATGCCTGTGTGAGCAGTGCTTTCAAGATGGACACATCAGTGAAGTCCATCCGCTGCGTTCTCGGTGAGTGCACTGCTGCCACCATGCGTTGACCTCTCTGCTGCTATTACTATGCATGCCCTGATGCTCATGCATCGCATCATTGAACAACATCACTCGCAGCTTCCACCTGTGCCCTGCTGCCGCCATACATGCGCTTCCTGCTGCCGCCATACATGCGCTTCCTGCTGCCGCCATACATGCGCTTCCTGCTGCCGCCATACATGCGCTTCCTGCTGCCGCCATACATGCGCTTCCTGCTGCCGCCATACATGCGCGTCCTGCTGCCGCCATACATGCGCTTCCTGCTGCCGCCATACATGCGCGTCCTGCTGCCGCCATACATGCGCTTCCTGCTGCCGCCATACATGCGCTTCCTGCTGCCGCCATACATGCGCTTCCTGCTGCCGCCATACATGCGCGTCCTGCTGCCGCCATACATGCGCGTCCTGCTGCCGCCATACATGCGCTTCCTGCTGCCGCCATACATGCGCTTCCTGCTGCCGCCATACATGCGCGTCCTGCTGCCGCCATACATGCGCGTCCTGCTGCCGCCATACATGCGCGTCCTGCTGCCGCCATACATGCGCGTCCTGCTGCCGCCATACATGCGCGTCCTGCTGCCGCCATACATGCGCGTCCTGCTGCCGCCATACATGCGCGTCCTGCTGCCGCCATACATGCGCGTCCTGCTGCCGCCATACATGCGCGTCCTGCTGCCGCCATACATGCGCGTCCTGCTGCCGCCATACATGCGCGTCCTGCTGCCGCCATACATGCGCGTCCTGCTGCCGCCATACATGCGCGTCCTGCTGCCGCCATACATGCGCGTCCTGCTGCCGCCATACATGCGCGTCCTGCTGCCGCCATACATGCGCGTCCTGCTGCCGCCATACATGCGCGTCCTGCTGCCGCCATACATGCGCGTCCTGCTGCCGCCATACATGCGCGTCCTGCTGCCGCCATACATGCGCGTCCTGCTGCCGCCATACATGCGCGTCCTGCTGCCGCCATACATGCGCGTCCTGCTGCCGCCATACATGCGCGTCCTGCTGCCGCCATACATGCGCGTCCTGCTGCCGCCATACATGCGCGTCCTGCTGCCGCCATACATGCGCGTCCTGCTGCCGCCATACATGCGCGTCCTGCTGCCGCCATACATGCGCGTCCTGCTGCCGCCATACATGCGCGTCCTGCTGCCGCCATACATGCGCGTCCTGCTGCCGCCATACATGCACGTCCTGCTGCCGCCATACATGCGCGTCCTGCTGCCGCCATACATGCGCGTCCTGCTGCCGCCATACATGCGCGTCCTGCTGCCGCCATACATGCGCGTCCTGCTGCCGCCATACATGCGCGTCCTGCTGCCGCCATACATGCGCGTCCTGCTGCCGCCATACATGCGCGTCCTGCTGCCGCCATACATGCGCGTCCTGCTGCCGCCATACATGCGCGTCCTGCTGCCGCCATACATGCGCGTCCTGCTGCCGCCATACATGCGCGTCCTGCTGCCGCCATACATGCGCGTCCTGCTGCCGCCATACATGCGCGTCCTGCTGCCGCCATACATGCGCGTCCTGCTGCCGCCATACATGCGCGTCCTGCTGCCGCCATACATGCGCGTCCTGCTGCCGCCATACATGCGCGTCCTGCTGCCGCCATACATGCGCGTCCTGCTGCCGCCATACATGCGCGTCCTGCTGCCGCCATACATGCGCGTCCTGCTGCCGCCATACATGCGCGTCCTGCTGCCGCCATACATGCGCGTCCTGCTGCCGCCATACATGCGCGTCCTGCTGCCGCCATACATGCGCGTCCTGCTGCCGCCATACATGCGCGTCCTGCTGCCGCCATACATGCGCGTCCTGCTGCCGCCATACATGCGCGTCCTGCTGCCGCCATACATGCGCGTCCTGCTGCCGCCATACATGCGCGTCCTGCTGCCGCCATACATGCGCGTCCTGCTGCCGCCATACATGCGCGTCCTGCTGCCGCCATACATGCGCGTCCTGCTGCCGCCATACATGCGCGTCCTGCTGCCGCCATACATGCGCGTCCTGCTGCCGCCATACATGCGCGTCCTGCTGCCGCCATACATGCGCGTCCTGCTGCCGCCATACATGCGCGTCCTGCTGCCGCCATACATGCGCGTCCTGCTGCCGCCATACATGCGCGTCCTGCTGCCGCCATACATGCGCGTCCTGCTGCCGCCATACATGCGCGTCCTGCTGCCGCCATACATGCGCGTCCTGCTGCCGCCATACATGCGCGTCCTGCTGCCGCCATACATGCGCGTCCTGCTGCCGCCATACATGCGCGTCCTGCTGCCGCCATACATGCGCGTCCTGCTGCCGCCATACATGCGCGTCCTGCTGCCGCCATACATGCGCGTCCTGCTGCCGCCATACATGCGCGTCCTGCTGCCGCCATACATGCGCGTCCTGCTGCCGCCATACATGCGCGTCCTGCTGCCGCCATACATGCGCTTCCTGCTGCCGCCATACATGCGCGTCCTGCTGCCGCCATACATGCGCGTCCTGCTGCCGCCATACATGGCGCGTCCTGCTGCCGCCATACATGCGCGTCCTGCTGCCGCCATACATGCGCGTCCTGCTGCCGCCATACATGCGCGTCCTGCTGCCGCCATACATGCGCGTCCTGCTGCCGCCATACATGCGCGTCCTGCTGCCGCCATACATGCGCGTCCTGCTGCCGCCATACATGCGCGTCCTGCTGCCGCCATACATGCGCGTCCTGCTGCCGCCATACATGCGCGTCCTGCTGCCGCCATACATGCGCGTCCTGCTGCCGCCATACATGCGCGTCCTGCTGCCGCCATACATGCGCGTCCTGCTGCCGCCATACATGCGCGTCCTGCTGCCGCCATACATGCGCGTCCTGCTGCCGCCATACATGCGCGTCCTGCTGCCGCCATACATGCGCGTCCTGCTGCCGCCATACATGCGCGTCCTGCTGCCGCCATACATGCGCGTCCTGCTGCCGCCATACATGCGCGTCCTGCTGCCGCCATACATGCGCGTCCTGCTGCCGCCATACATGCGCGTCCTGCTGCCGCCATACATGCGCGTCCTGCTGCCGCCATACATGCGCGTCCTGCTGCCGCCATACATGCGCGTCCTGCTGCCGCCATACATGCGCGTCCTGCTGCCGCCATACATGCGCGTCCTGCTGCCGCCATACATGCGCGTCCTGCTGCCGCCATACATGCGCGTCCTGCTGCCGCCATACATGCGCGTCCTGCTGCCGCCATACATGCGCGTCCTGCTGCCGCCATACATGCGCGTCCTGCTGCCGCCATACATGCGCGTCCTGCTGCCGCCATACATGCGCGTCCTGCTGCCGCCATACATGCGCGTCCTGCTGCCGCCATACATGCGCGTCCTGCTGCCGCCATACATGCGCGTCCTGCTGCCGCCATACATGCGCGTCCTGCTGCCGCCATACATGCGCGTCCTGCTGCCGCCATACATGCGCGTCCTGCTGCCGCCATACATGCGCGTCCTGCTGCCGCCATACATGCGGGCGTCCTGCTGCCGCCATACATGCGCGTCCTGCTGCCGCCATACATGCGCGTCCTGCTGCCGCCATACATGCGCGTCCTGCTGCCGCCATACATGCGCGTCCTGCTGCCGCCATACATGCGCGTCCTGCTGCCGCCATACATGCGCGTCCTGCTGCCGCCATACATGCGCGTCCTGCTGCCGCCATACATGCGCGTCCTGCTGCCGCCATACATGCGCGTCCTGCTGCCGCCATACATGCGCGTCCTGCTGCCGCCATACATGCGCGTCCTGCTGCCGCCATACATGCGCGTCCTGCTGCCGCCATACATGCGCGTCCTGCTGCCGCCATACATGCGCGTCCTGCTGCCGCCATACATGCGCGTCCTGCTGCCGCCATACATGCGCGTCCTGCTGCCGCCATACATGCGCGTCCTGCTGCCGCCATACATGCGCGTCCTGCTGCCGCCATACATGCGCGTCCTGCTGCCGCCATACATGCGCGTCCTGCTGCCGCCATACATGCGCGTCCTGCTGCCGCCATACATGCGCGTCCTGCTGCCGCCATACATGCGCGTCCTGCTGCCGCCATACATGCGCGTCCTGCTGCCGCCATACATGCGCGTCCTGCTGCCGCCATACATGCGCGTCCTGCTGCCGCCATACATGCGCGTCCTGCTGCCGCCATACATGCGCGTCCTGCTGCCGCCATACATGCGCGTCCTGCTGCCGCCATACATGCGCGTCCTGCTGCCGCCATACATGCGCGTCCTGCTGCCGCCATACATGCGCGTCCTGCTGCCGCCATACATGCGCGTCCTGCTGCCGCCATACATGCGCGTCCTGCTGCCGCCATACATGCGCGTCCTGCTGCCGCCATACATGCGCGTCCTGCTGCCGCCATACATGCGCGTCCTGCTGCCGCCATACATGCGCGTCCTGCTGCCGCCATACATGCGCGTCCTGCTGCCGCCATACATGCGCGTCCTGCTGCCGCCATACATGCGCGTCCTGCTGCCGCCATACATGCGCGTCCTGCTGCCGCCATACATGCGCGTCCTGCTGCCGCCATACATGCGCGTCCTGCTGCCGCCATACATGCGCGTCCTGCTGCCGCCATACATGCGCGTCCTGCTGCCGCCATACATGCGCGTCCTGCTGCCGCCATACATGCGCGTCCTGCTGCCGCCATACATGCGCGTCCTGCTGCCGCCATACATGCGCGTCCTGCTGCCGCCATACATGCGCGTCCTGCTGCCGCCATACATGCGCGTCCTGCTGCCGCCATACATGCGCGTCCTGCTGCCGCCATACATGCGCGTCCTGCTGCCGCCATACATGCGCGTCCTGCTGCCGCCATACATGCGCGTCCTGCTGCCGCCATACATGCGCGTCCTGCTGCCGCCATACATGCGCGTCCTGCTGCCGCCATACATGCGCGTCCTGCTGCCGCCATACATGCGCGTCCTGCTGCCGCCATACATGCGCGTCCTGCTGCCGCCATACATGCGCGTCCTGCTGCCGCCATACATGCGCGTCCTGCTGCCGCCATACATGCGCGTCCTGCTGCCGCCATACATGCGCGTCCTGCTGCCGCCATACATGCGCGTCCTGCTGCCGCCATACATGCGCGTCCTGCTGCCGCCATACATGCGCGTCCTGCTGCCGCCATACATGCGCGTCCTGCTGCCGCCATACATGCGCGTCCTGCTGCCGCCATACATGCGCGTCCTGCTGCCGCCATACATGCGCGTCCTGCTGCCGCCATACATGCGCGTCCTGCTGCCGCCATACATGCGCGTCCTGCTGCCGCCATACATGCGCGTCCTGCTGCCGCCATACATGCGCGTCCTGCTGCCGCCATACATGCGCGTCCTGCTGCCGCCATACATGCGCGTCCTGCTGCCGCCATACATGCGCGTCCTGCTGCCGCCATACATGCGCGTCCTGCTGCCGCCATACATGCGCGTCCTGCTGCCGCCATACATGCGCGTCCTGCTGCCGCCATACATGCGCGTCCTGCTGCCGCCATACATGCGCGTCCTGCTGCCGCCATACATGCGCGTCCTGCTGCCGCCATACATGCGCGTCCTGCTGCCGCCATACATGCGCGTCCTGCTGCCGCCATACATGCGCGTCCTGCTGCCGCCATACATGCGCGTCCTGCTGCCGCCATACATGCGCGTCCTGCTGCCGCCATACATGCGCGTCCTGCTGCCGCCATACATGCGCGTCCTGCTGCCGCCATACATGCGCGTCCTGCTGCCGCCATACATGCGCGTCCTGCTGCCGCCATACATGCGCGTCCTGCTGCCGCCATACATGCGCGTCCTGCTGCCGCCATACATGCGCGTCCTGCTGCCGCCATACATGCGCGTCCTGCTGCCGCCATACATGCGCGTCCTGCTGCCGCCATACATGCGCGTCCTGCTGCCGCCATACATGCGCGTCCTGCTGCCGCCATACATGCGCGTCCTGCTGCCGCCATACATGCGCGTCCTGCTGCCGCCATACATGCGCGTCCTGCTGCCGCCATACATGCGCGTCCTGCTGCCGCCATACATGCGCGTCCTGCTGCCGCCATACATGCGCGTCCTGCTGCCGCCATACATGCGCGTCCTGCTGCCGCCATACATGCGCGTCCTGCTGCCGCCATACATGCGCGTCCTGCTGCCGCCATACATGCGCGTCCTGCTGCCGCCATACATGCGCGTCCTGCTGCCGCCATACATGCGCGTCCTGCTGCCGCCATACATGCGCGTCCTGCTGCCGCCATACATGCGCGTCCTGCTGCCGCCATACATGCGCGTCCTGCTGCCGCCATACATGCGCGTCCTGCTGCCGCCATACATGCGCGTCCTGCTGCCGCCATACATGCGCGTCCTGCTGCCGCCATACATGCGCGTCCTGCTGCCGCCATACATGCGCGTCCTGCTGCCGCCATACATGCGCGTCCTGCTGCCGCCATACATGCGCGTCCTGCTGCCGCCATACATGCGCGTCCTGCTGCCGCCATACATGCGCGTCCTGCTGCCGCCATACATGCGCGTCCTGCTGCCGCCATACATGCGCGTCCTGCTGCCGCCATACATGCGCGTCCTGCTGCCGCCATACATGCGCGTCCTGCTGCCGCCATACATGCGCGTCCTGCTGCCGCCATACATGCGCGTCCTGCTGCCGCCATACATGCGCGTCCTGCTGCCGCCATACATGCGCGTCCTGCTGCCGCCATACATGCGCGTCCTGCTGCCGCCATACATGCGCGTCCTGCTGCCGCCATACATGCGCGTCCTGCTGCCGCCATACATGCGCGTCCTGCTGCCGCCATACATGCGCGTCCTGCTGCAATTTATACCGCTTTTCCTCATGAGTCTTGCCTCTCCCCCCGTTCTTTCCCCCATGCCTCTCCTCCCATGCCTCTCATCCCATCCCTCCCCCCCATGCCATTTCCTCCCATCCCATCCCTCTCACCCCATCCTCCCATGTGATCCAGACGACATCTGCAGCCGTGTCAAGTGCCCGGAACACTCCACGTGCATCAAGACAAACGACAGCCTGGAGGTGGGGTGCCAGTGCGCCCAGGGCTACCGTAAAGTCTACGGCCAATGCAAGCCCCAGTAACCTCCTCTTCCCAGTAAGTCAATTCTGAGATGCATCAAGACAAGCGACAGGCAGGAGGTGGCATGCCAGTGCGCCCAGGGCTACCGTGCAGTCTATGGTCGAGGCTGGGGTGCCAGTGCCTCAAGGGCTACTGTGTCGTCTACGGCCAGTGCCAGCCGCAGTAGCCTCCCTTCCCCTCTGCAAGCCTTTGCCTTCAACGTGCATTCAGAGCGACGATTATAGTGAGGGGGTGGCATGCCAGTGCGCCCAGGGCTACCGTGCCGTCTACGGCCAGTGCCAGCCGCAGTAGCCTCCCTTCCCACCTGTAAGCCTCCCCAGTAGCCCTCCCTCTCGCCTGTAAGCCTCCACAGTAGCCTCCCCTCCCATCTGTATTTCTCCCCAACAGCTCTCCCTCTTGCCTGTAGGGAGGTGGCACGCCAGTGCGCCCAGAGCTACCGTGCCCCAATAACCTCCCCTCCACTCTGTAACTCCCTCACCCTCTCTCCTCCCCCTCCCGCCCTCTCTTCCCTTCTCGTCCCAGATTGCCTTTCTCTCCCCCGGTCCTCCATATGCCTCTCCTCCATGTCCCTTCCTCCCACTGCTGTGCTGAGAGGTCGTGCCGAGACCAGCTCCTGGAGAGAAGAGCGTCTGCTGCAGATGCCCTAGAGAGCCGCTGGAGAGGAATGGGAGAGGGCCTGGAGTGGCAGCTCTGTGATGGGAGTCAGCATTTGCCACCTAGGGAGGCCAGAGATGCGGTTACTGGCAGCAAATTTTGTAGCAAGAGTGACAGTGGGATATCAGCATTGGTGCATCATAGAATGTTACCATACGCTTCAAAATAGTGTGTTCTTATTCTGTATACCCGGCTTTCCTGTCCCGGTTTATGATCTAACCCAACATTTTATTCATGAACGGTAATATCAATAATGAAAATACTTCTATAGAAATTGAGTTTGTGCTTTTCTGTCCACTTCGTGAGTTTCTTTAGAAGTGGCTACAGCTAGACAAGAGCAGGCAGACAGGGAAGCACCAGCATTATTGGTACTGTAATCCACATAGCCATGTCGAGCGCGCCGTAAGCGCGCCCTACACGGCACGCACGACGCCAGGCCAAACACAGCTATGGGGCACCTGGAACGCAGAATGCAGGCAGCCCTTTTGGAGCGCAGAGCGGAGTGGCGACGATTATGGGAGCCGTGTTTGCAGGTTAGCTTTCGGGCGTCGCGAAAATCTTGGACGCGGGTTCGAAACTTTCGTTGCCAAGCGGAAACTCTCTCGAGAGCTCGTGCTTATATGGGCGTGCGGCGTAGTTACGGGCCCATAATCATGTGCGAGAACTATTTCTCGCCGAGCGGCCGCACAATCATGGGCCCAGAACAATTATTGCCCGCGCAGCGAGAGTTGCCGCAGCGCCACCGCAGCCGCTTGTACCAGTCTCCCTGGGAGTATTATATAGGGGCTGTTTGGAATATGTGCGTCGAGAATACGCACTCACATCGTCATTACCTCCCTTGTGAGGCTAGTCTGCTCCCGAGCTAGTAGATCCGACAGTCACATCGAGCTTCGACAACACTTGCCGGCCACTTTTTTCTGCTGCCCTGCCGTGCTGTATCAACCACAGCAGCGCCCCGCTGCGAAATCGCTGATTTTGTGCCACAAAATATGTATCAGTGATACGACGCTTGTGCTACCACGCCTCTCCGCCACTACCCTCGCCGCTACCTTCGCCGCTCCCCTCGCCGCTACCCTCGCCGCTCCCCTCGCCGCTACCTCGCTAACCAGGAGCACCCGCGATGAGGACGGGAGATCATTCCAAAGCCACAGCAGCACTTCTCGTCGTCTTCATCCTCATTGGTACACCTCCCTTTCTCGTCGCCTCCCGAGTTGACCTCCCGAGTTGACCTCCCGAGTTGACTCAAAAGTCAACTCGCAGCGGCGCTACTCGTCGCCGTCATCCTCATAGATACGCGTCGCATCCCTCACGATGCTTGTGAAAGCTCATGCTCGCGACGAAGTGATTTCATCATGATCATGTCACTCGCAACTCCATCGTGCCTGATTTTTGCCCTTCCTCCTGTCACTCTCTCGCTGTCCTGCCAATCTCCCTAACCTCTGTGACCTCCGCGCAGCGAGTGAAGTGGGAGTGGCGCTGGGAGCACCTGCCGCCAACAGCGCGACTGCTGGCGGCGGCAGTGGCGACTCCGCTGATACCACGGGTGCGAGCAAGCCGACTATTGCCACTGGTATTAGGGGCGCGGCGAGCGTCGCGAGAGCGGGGAGCGCGGCGCGCGACACGGTGAACGCGGAGCTGCGAGTGGGCTCGGTGGTGCTCGCCGGCTCGCTCGCGCAGCCGCGCTCCGTCTCCTTCGACCTGGGGCGCTGCGAGCCCGTGCCCGAAACTAGCGGGGGCGCGGTGGATGCGCTGGTGTGGTGGGACGTTTTTTCGGATCGCACTGTGTGCAACGCGGTGCAGCTGTTCGCGTCGCCTGACTGCTCGGGGGCACCAGCCGCGAAATACCCTTTCACAGGTTACATGACGTGAGAAATAACCATTTCGCTCCGAAATGCCCGTTTGTGGGGTACTGCAGTTGCAAGCAAGATACCCATTCGCGGGGTTCATGAGGTGTGAGCAGTTTGGGGCGTGTGAGCAGTCACGGGGTACAAACATGAGCTGAGAGGATTCATCAGCTTGCCTTGGCGTGCATCAAAGCTCCTTTGCGCCTATTTGTGTCGTCTGACTGCTCAGGGACAGCGTCGGCGTAGTACCCATTTAAAGGGTACACGGGGTGAGCAGTTCGGGGCATGTGAGATCTCAAGGGTGCATGAGCTGAGAGCATTCATCTGCTTGCCTTGGCGTGCAACATCAAAGCTCCTTTGCACCTGGTTGCATCGCCCTCGCACGGGTGCTGCAGCAGCATTTTGAGACGGACGTCTAAAAAGCCGACTGACTGACACGTGTTGCGGCAACGAAATACTCATTCACGTGTGTTGGTACATGAGGTCCTCTGACATAATTCCAGTGAGCAGCAGTGCCGAGGTTTAGGCTTAAGCAAGTAGGAAAAAACAGTGAAACTCTAAACACTAGCTAATAGCCGAGAGTCTGTGAAACCGGAACTCTTCTCATTCACGTGTGTGGGTACATGAGGTGGGCGGTTTGGGCCAAGTCCCCATTTGCGCAAGTCCCTGTTTCTGCCCCTCCCACGCCCTGAACCCTCCCCCCATGCACCCTCTGTGCACGTGTGAGCACACCCATCAGACCCCCACCACATGCTCCCCTCCCCACGCCTTGAACCTTCCTCCCATGGCCCCCTGCCCCTGCGCGTGTGTGAGCAGTACTTTCAAGATGGGCGCATCAGTGAAGTCCATCCGCTGCGTTATCAGTGCGTGCCCTGCTGCTGCCACGCGTGCCCTGCTGCTGCCACGCGTGCCCTGCTGCTGCCACGCGTGCCCTGCTGCTGCCACGCTTCTGCTGCTGCCACGCTTCTGCTGCAACCATGCTGCTGCTGCTGCCATGCTTCTGCTGCTGCCACGCTTCTGCTGCTGCCACGCTTCTGCTGCTGCCATGCGTCTGCTGCTGCCACGCTTCTGCTGCTGCCATGCTTCTGCTGCTGCCGTTCTTCTGCTGCTATTGCCATCTGTATTCCCGCGTGTCCTGCCGTTGCCATGCATTGGCCCTTATACTGCATCTATCGCCATTCACCCCTGCTGCTGCATGCTGATCAGCAGTCGCTGCTGCCATCTGTGCCCTTCTGCTGACATGCCTGCGCCTGTTGCTGCAATCCATGCCCCTACCCACGTGCCTCTCACCCCATGCCTCTCACCCCATGCCTCTCCTCCCATCCCTCTCCCATCCCTCTCTCCCCTTCCCTCTCCCTTATCCTTGACGTGATCCAGACAACATCTGTCAAAGTGCCAAGTGCCCTGAACACTCCACGTGCATCAAGACCAACGATTATAGGGGGGTGGCGTGCGAGTGTGCCAAGGGCTACCGTGATGTCTTTGGCCGATGCAAACCCGAATAAGCTCCCCAATAACCCCCCTCCTCTCCTCGCTGTAAAAAATACTTTTGAGCCGACCGATTGTCACCTGGAGAGGCAGTTGCGTGCTGGGAGGCAGTCATTGCTGCATGGGGCACCAGAGAGGTGGGTCCAGTGACTCCAGTCACTCTCTTGGTGCCTAGCCACGCTGCCTAGAAGAGCATGTTTTTAGGAGCTAGTGGGTGCATAATAACCTGGAGTTGTGTGATTATCTGAGCAATAAAAAGGGCCCATATGAAAGGCCATTCATTACCATCTGCTAGAAGATTACATGGTAGATGTATGAACAATATAATTTTCTGCTCACCCTTAAAGGCCACATCCAGAATTACTGAGTCGGGTGGCAAACTGCCACCAGTTTCACGCGATTGGTCCAATTTTTTTAGTGGGTTGTTGACGCGATTGGGTTTCGATTCGATTTTCCCATCGAACCGAACATCCTCTGTCAGAAATAGCCCTAGGCTTGGTTAGGAACCTTTGGAGCTAAGGATGAAAGTTAAGAAAAGAAGAGAGGGGTTTCACTAAGGAACAAGGGTACAAGATATAGGAAACAAGAACAAGCAAGGCAAGCAGGTACACCACCACCACACATGAGACAACTACACCAACACTACAAGAAATTATATGAAATATGAATAACATATTTTGACACGCCCCCATGATTGCTTGCATGTACCGGTATATGTTAAAATGTTATATTGCTTACTTTGTATAGGCTATAGTGGGGTAGCCCATAAAGTGTACAACCCAATTAAGGTTAGTACTTGTACCCAACTTCTGATCAATGCATTCATTCTCGTTCGTTAGTTTGACATGGTATCAGAGCAGGTCCTTCCCTAGGACCGAATTGTTTTAAGGGCCCACCACAGAGCTGCCCCACTAGCTGCCCTGCTGCCCTACCCTACTGACGCGCCGCCCTTCTGGCCACTGCACCGCCCCTAGCAGCTCGTCGCGCCGCCCTTAGCAGCCCACGAGCCGCCCATGCAGCCAGCGTGCTGCACCTGTAGCCCGCTTGCAACCTGCTTGCGGCGCGCGCGCCGCCTTTGCAGCCCGCGCGCCGCCTCTGCAACCCGCGCCCCGCCCACTTGCGGCCCGCCCGCCGCCCCTAGGCCTGCTCGCCGCCCTTGCGGCCCGCTCGCCGCCCTTGCGGCCCGCCCGCTGCCCTTGCGGCCCGCTCGCTGCCCCTAAGGCCCGCTCGCCACCCGCTTGCGACTCGCTCGTTGCCCCTGCCGCCCGCTCGCTGCTTGCTCGCGGCCCGCTAGCCGCCCCTACAGCCCGCTCGCAGCCTGCCTGCAACTCGCTCGCCGCCCATGCCGCCCGATCGCCGCTTGCTCGAGGCCCGCTTGCCGCCTGCCTGCGGCCCGCTCGCCACCCCTGCAGCCCGCTTGCTGCCTGCCTGCGGCCCGCTCGCCGCCCCTGCAGACCGCTCGCCGCACGCCTGCGGCCCGCTCGCATGCGACCCGCTCACCGCCCTCTTACAGCCTGCGCGCTGCCACTTGTAACCCGCTCGCCACCCCTTTTGCAGCCAGCGTGCCGTCCTTGCTGCTTGCGCCGCCTAGCTCTTGCCCACTCTGCTGCTTGCGCCGCCCAGCTACTGTCCGTCCTGCTATGCGCCGCCCTGCCCTGCACTGCTCGTGTCCCTAGTGAACGAGCCACCCTGCTCTTCCTGCTATGGCTTTGTCAAAGTAACGAACGAGAATGAATGAACTATGAAACAGTTGGGTACAAGTACTAACCCTAATGGGTTGTACCCCTTATGGGCTACCCCACTACAGCCTACACAAATGTATAACCTATAATGTTCTGACACACCCCCATAGGCAAAGTGGAGGAGAACAAGTGGTCACAAGACCAGTAAGGAAAAGCAAAGCAAGCTCAGGGTGGATCACAAAGTCACCACACAGTCCGAGCACAAGCAAAGGGCCACAAGGCCAGCTCACATGCAGAGTTATATAAAGAGAACAAACAATGCAGTGATCATACTCTAGCAAGTGCAAGCATGCAGGTATATATATAGATCACAGTACAAGTAGAGTCAAGCAGTAAGTAAGTGAGGCAAAGTGGGCACAAGGCCTAACAGAGTAGCAAAGCGCTGATGATCACCAGGCGGAAGTGCCTTGGTGAACACATCAGCAGTGTTGGCCCGAGTGGCCACGTCCGCAAGACGAAGCAGGCCACGCTGCTGCAACTCTTGAGCAAGGAAGTAGCGCAGAGCGATGTGCTTCGTTCTGTGCTCCAGTCTGTGCTCCTGACACAAGGCAATCATGGCCTTGTTGGTAAGCAAGTAGGTCAGCCAGCGGAGCTCTTGAGCAGCCATAGCCCCGGCGTAGATCTCAGCCTCACAACTGGAGCTGAGAACAGAAGACGAGCGGGTAGACCGCCAGGAAACAGAGCCGGAACCAAGGCTGAAGGTGTAACCCTGTGACGACCGCTGCGTAGCTGAGTCGTCAACCCAGGAGGCGTCTGCGTGACCGGTGAGAACAACTGGACCCCGTCCTCCAAGCACGAGCCCCATGCCCGACGTACTGCATAGGTAACGCAGTACCCTCTTCGCAGCATCCCAGTGCACCTTTCGGTGCCTACCGGGAGCCACGTAGCGAGCCAAAAGGCTGAGAGGGTACGCGAGGTCAGGTCGTGTGCAATTCATGAGGTACATGAGGCAACCCACAAGCTCTGGGTACGGACCACTCGGCTCTACGGACTTGTCCAAAGGTGGAGCTGAGAGCGAGTGGCTTGTAGACAGAGGAGTGGGCTGTGGTGAGGAGAAGTGGAAGCCAAAGCGCTGAAGGACCTGGTGCACCATGTGTGACTGAGTCAGTGTGATGGTGCGCCGTGCTCTGTCCCGGGTGATCTGCAGGCCAAGATAGCTGCGCAGTTCACCCAGGTCAGTGCAGGTGTGTCTCTTCTGCAGCTCGGACTTCACAAGGGTCAGTGCGTCAGTGTCAGCAGTGGCAAAGACCAAGTCGTCGACGTACACGACGAAGAAGAACGACGGCAGAGAGGTGTCGGTGCGTAGAAACAGCGACGAGTCTGCAGTAGACAGAGCAAACCCAAGAGTTGCAAGTGTAGTCCTCAGCGTGTCGTGCCACTCGCGAGGAGCCTGGCGGAGACCGTAGACTGGCCGCCGGAGGCTCGACTGGGTACCTGCAGGAAACGTCCCAGTGAAACCAGGTGGTCGGCGCAGCCATATCTCCTCGTGCAGGCTGCCCTGCAAGAAAGCTGTGCTGAAGTCCAGAGAGTGCAACTCGTAGTCACGCTGAGCATCGACGTGCAGCAACACCCGAAGAGTAGTCATCTTCGGGGTGGGGGAGAAGGTATGGAAGTAGTCAACTCCTTGTCACTGACTGAAGCCTCTAGCAACGTAACGCGCCTTGAAGGCAGGCGGAGAACCCGGCGGCCGCTTCACCCTGAAGATCCACATGCCATCGACTATGTTCGCCCCAGGTGGGGGAACCTCGTCGACGTAGGTGCCAGTGGACTTCCAGGATGCCATCTCGGCATCCATGGCTGCCTGCCACTGAGAGGAGTAAGGACCCGTAATCGCCTCTGCGTAAGAGCGCGAGGTCGGGATGTCTGGAGCATCCGGGTCTCCCTCAGGGGCAAGCAGCATGGAAGCGAAACGAGGTGCAGCAGCTGCAAGACTCTCAAAGTACTCTTGCATGTCCTCAAGGACGTCCGTGCCAAGAGCACACTCACCCCCGACGGACGGAGGACTGGCAGACTAAGACTCAGCAACAAGAGCAGTGGCGAAGTCTAGACGGCAGGCAGCAGCAAAGTCAAGCAGCTCAGCAACGAGAGCAGACGCAGCAGCTTACTCAAAAGAAGGGTCAGTGACAGCAGTGGCGAGGAGACGAGAGACAGTGGGACTGGCAGCACGAGCGCGGTCAGACTCAGGGTCAGGGACCTCAGGAAGAGAGGACTCAGGAGGAGCAGGCAGAGGAACACGCAGTGGAACTGAGGAAGGACGAAGTGTCATAGCGTGCGTGCCGGGGACAGGAGGAGGACGCGAACGAGGAACGCGACGAGCAGTGCGAACAGGCAAGACAGGACGAGACGCAGGCTCACGACGCTCGGTAAGACCGCCGGACTGCTCAGTGTAAGGAGAGGGAGCAGGCAGTGGGGAGGCGGGCTGTAACGGCGGCTGCGACTAGTCAGGCGGAGGACACAGGAGAGGAGGAGTAAGGCCGGTAGAAGACGGGGTACTAAGAACCTGCTGAAGCAGGGGAACGAAGTACGGTCGCGGCCGCACAGTGCCTCCAGCACCCTCAGCGCAAGTGTCAACAGCTCCAGTGCCTCTAGCTCCAGTGCCTCCAACTCCAGCTCCAGCAGCTCCAGCGCCTCCT